TGGGAAGACCAAATGATGAACTCTTCAGTACAGTAAAATTTTTTTACTGCAATTAGTATATCAGTTACAGCCGGATGTTCCCCTAAAACACAACATTCCAAATCTTCAGTGGTGCAATTGGGAAGCTATTGAAAGAGAAAAAGAGATCAAAAGAAAATTTACAACAATATCTCATTCTTTTTCATGAGAGTTCAGCTTTGAACATTAATCAAATGATCTGTAAAAGACCTCTATTATATGAAATTTGCTATCAGAGATTGAGATACATTAAATGAAACAGTTTGACTGGAAATATCTGCATAATGAACACTTAATTCTTCTTTGGGGTAGCACAAAGGAAAATGTGTATAAAATATGCATTTTTCCTCAAATTGATAGAGGTTAGATAGGGAGCATCACCAGAGCACATTTAATCAGATCTATGAACTTGATATTAGAATTTTAAAAGACTGGAACTTGTTCTTTTATTTCTTGAAATACAGATGTATATCAGCCAATTAAATAAATATGAGTTAATAGGTAGTTCTCAGAAGCAATTTAAAGTTCAAATAATTATAAACACTTATAATGAAGGAACAGGTTTATCCAAATGAATTTGTTTAACATCATAAGAGCACATTTTCTCTCTGAGCCAAAACAGATGAATTATACTCTGACAGTGATCTTCATTTCATTGTGCTAAAAATAAATTTCAGTACACTGTCATTTTTCCTTACTCCTTCTCAACAACTGCAGATGGTAACATTTCACTTGTAAATGGTTTCCAAGGAGAGATTTGGGGCACTCTTCTCTGCAATATAAGCTTTGTAGGTAGCTATTTTTATTACCTTGCTGTGTATTCCGTCTTCCAAGTATACTCCATTGATATGCATGCTGACTGACATTTTGCCCATCATTTAAATCATGACTTTAGTTCAAATTTACTTTTCATCATGGTAAAATGATTAACATATGACTACATCACAGTTTCCCTATAGAACTACTTTGCTTTCCACAAGGTATTTTGGTGCTCTGATGACAATATATTTCCCTAGGAAGAATATGTATTTTAGCAAAGTTAAATGTTATTAATGAGTTACAGAAGACCTCAGAGAATGTTGTTTTAGATGTAATTAATCTGAACCCCATTAATTCACAATACATGTTATTTTGAACTTTCAGTGAGTTAACCTATGCTAGTCACATTCTTTCTCTTTGGGGAACAGTTTGTTAAGTTAATTAAATGGTGTCAATAATGTTAAGGGAGACTGTACAGTCCACTGAAGAAAATGTGTTCTAGAAAATATTTTAGCAGCATTCATTCACATAGAAATCCTTAAAATGTTAATTATACTTTTGTTTTTGTGCATTCATTTAAAAATGATTTACTAGTGGTTGGTGGATTTTTATGTACTTAGATATACAACAGTGAAGTTTATTATAAAACTTATTTTAATTAAAACTGTAATTTTCACCCAAGTATTCTGAATTTCTGAGACTAAACACGTTTAGCTAAACATGTGAGCTGTAGACACAAACATACATTGTGGACAATCTCTCCTCTACCAATCTGGGTATAAGAATTACATTTAGTAGCTCTGGATATATGATTTCATCTTCTGGTAGCTGGTGACTAGTATTTATTTTTTTAATCTTGAATCTTACTAAATGTAGAAATACCCATAATTTAAGGAAATAGAGTTGGTTTATTTTAGGGCAAATAATATCAATAAGCTTCAGCTTGTTTGTTACTAAAAGGATAGAGGCTGTATGTATTATTTACATGTTTTTTAAATTCATCATGAATGAATTAGTGTTAAATGATGAAATGCAAGAGAAATTTTGCATTATTGTCAATGTAAATTTTTAAGAGAAGTTTTAAAGATGTACTGAATAACCTATATTTTATAGCAAAATATTATTTGAAGAATAATTTTGCAATAATCTACCACATATTTTGGAAACATTTTATATGATGTGTCATCTGTCCATCTAAAAGATTATGTGTCAACTAATTTTCAATATGAGAATCTGTCAAATTATGAAAACCTTTACAAAATCATGAAATTTTAAAGATATATCCCTTTTAGATTCCTTATTTTTTTTCAGTTCTGTGTGTATTTGTTACCCCAAGTTTTCAAGAAATCTCTAATATTGTTGGTACAAATATTAGTATTTGAATTCATTTATTTGCATGCTTTGTTTCATTCTTTAAGGTAAGGTGTTCTAGTAGTAATTTACTGATGTCATTTGGTAATGCTACTACTTAAAAGGAGATGAAATGATACCAAATGATTTCAAAAGGTCCATAGTTACTAATAAATTAGACTTGTAACAACTTGCCTGATGCTTATTTAAGTATGTAGAAATAATTCTGAAAAGGAATATGAGTAAGTGCCATTAAGAAACTAGAGAACAACAAAAGGTGCTGGGAAAACTGGATATCCAAATGGAAAAGGATGAAAGATTGAACCCTTGCCTAACACTATATACAAAAATAAACTCGAAATGGATCAAATACCTAAATGGAAGAGCTAAAACTGTGAAAATCTTGGAAGAAAACTTATGGGAAAAACTTTATGACATTGGATTGGGCAATAATTTCTTGAGTATGACATTAAAAGCACAGGCAATAAAATAAAAAAAAATGGTTAAGTTGGATTGCATCAAAATTAAAAACTTTTGTTCATCCAAAAGACACTATCAACAGAGTGAAAAGATACAGAATGAGAAAAAAATATTTGCAAGTCATATATCTCATAAGAGATTAATATCCAGAAAATATAAAGAACTTCTAGAACTCAACAATAAAAAATGAACAACCCAATTTAAAAAATGTTTGAAGGACTTAAGGAGACTTTTTTTTTCAAAGAAGATATACAAATAACCAATAAACACATGAAAAGATGTGTTTACATATCACTATTCCTTAGGAAAATGCTAATCAAAACCACAATGGGATACCACTTCACACCTATTAGGATGGCCATTATCAGGATGGAAAGAAGGAAGGAAGGAAAAGTGTTGCTGAAGATGTGAAGAAATTAGAACACTAGTGTATTGTTGATAGAAATGTAAAATGGTACAGCCACTATGGAAAACAGTATAGTGATTCCTCAAAGAGTTAAACATAAAACTATCATATGACCCAGCAATTCCACCTCTGGATATGTACACAAAATAAGTGAAGACAAAGACTAAAACAGATATTTGCACCCATATTCATGGCAGCATTATTCACAATAGCCAAATGGTGGGAGCAACCTAAGTTTCAATCAATGGAATGGATAGAAAAAAAATGTGTTATATAAATACAATGGAATATTATTCAGCCTTAAAAAGGAAAGAAATTTTCACAAATGCTACAACATGGATTAGCCTTGATGACATTATGCTAAATGAAATAAACCAGTCACAAAGAGACAAATATTGTATGATTCCTCTTATATGAGTCTCCTCTGGTAGTCAAATCCATACAGACAAAAAAATAGAATGGTAATTGACAAGGATTGGAGGGAGAGATGAGTTAATTATGAATGGATAGAGTGTTTCAGGTGGGAAAGAAAAAGTTCTGGAGATGGTGGTGATGGTTGCACAAAAATGTGACTGTATTCGATGTACAAATAAAACTACTCCTAAAAATGGTTAAAATGGCAAATTTTATGTTATGTGAATTTTAGCTTAAAAGAAAAAAAAAGAAACTGTAGAGAATATATCATTTCCAGAATGGTGGTATGAGCAACTGTATGGACCCTCTCCCCAGCAAAACAACCAAAACTGGTAAAAATTACTTAAGAAAAACCCAACAGTTCAGTGTTTCTGGAAATTGTCCTAAGAGCAAACAGCAAATGGAGAAGCACTTATTCAAGGAAATCTACTAATACACTACAAGAACAGTGAGAGCCTCTGGCATTTGTGCCATAATCCATTATCTGTCCCCACAGTTCATTGTCACAGAAGCTCCATGCCAAAGCAGGATCATACAAGAACACAGAACTCCTTCTTTCTCTAGGGCTCAGTCTAAGGTTCAGGTATCTCCCAGGGAGGTGCAAGCTTCCAGAATTTCTCACCCCTCCCAGCTCTGTGTTGCAGAAGCTCTATTATAGGCAAGAGTGGTTGAGAATACTGGGCCCCAATTACCTGTATTCCAACTCACTCATAGGGTGCAAATCCCATGCTGGGGTAGACAAGCTGAGAAGACCAAAGACTATTTCACCTTTTCAGCACCTGCTCAAAATCAGAGGTGTCAATCTGAAATAAACAGGCTTCTATCCCCATTCTTAGCTTCAGAGTAGTGGCACATAGATTTTGCCTAAGGAGAAAAGGTTGGCCATAAAAACAGAAAGCTCCAAAACTGCCCTCAAGAGCAGGGACTCTATTTGGAACAAGGCATAAGGGAAGTTCAAGATAAAGGAGTTGTCAAAAACAATGGAAATTTTGGTGGTAAGCAATTAAGAAGAGGCCAGTAGCTCCAACAGGGAAAAAAAAAGACTGTAGATCAGCTGTAAGTTTAGCAGAGAGAACCAGGAGAAGAGACATAGAGTAAGAGCCCTCTGGGGTCAGAACAAACATCAAAGTCTTGCCTCAAATACTACCCCTGCAACAGGGTCCAAATTTAGTTGGATCAGATTACTCAGCAATTTATGCCCCAGGACATTGCCAAAAACAATTGAGCAATGAGCTACTTATTAGTGGAGCCTAATAGGCTGAGTATGATACCAAATGAAGCAGATAGTTTAACTGAGAGATCAGAGGAAGAGACTGTCAAAGAAAGTCAAGCTAAAATTATTGACATCTCAGGATGAATATGCACATGTCTAAGGCTGTAACTGCAGAGGAGTGACATCAGAGGTTTCACCTTAAAGGGGAAGTAGACTTTATCAAAATAGTCAGCCAAGAAACAAAACAAATAAGGAAGCAAACAACAAAAAACATCAAGTCCCAGAGAGGGGAGGGGTATCAGTATCCACAGTTAATGCAGTATATTGTGTAAAATGTCTTGTTTTTGACAAAAATTTGAGGTATGCCAAGAAACAGGAAACTGTGACCTACACATGGAAAAAGCAAGCAGCTAAAACTAACTGTGAGAGGGCCCTGATGTCAGATTTAATGGACAATGACTTCACAGCAGCCATTATAAATATGTTCAAAGATCTAAAGAAAAGTATGCTTAAATAAGTAAAGTAAAATAACAATGTCTCATAAGATACAAAATATCATTAAAAAATGCCAAAAAATTAAAATATTAAATGAAAACTCTGGAGTCGAGAATTGCGATAGCCAAAATTAAAAAATTGACTAGAGAGGGTCAGCAGTAGATTTGAACCACTAGAAGAAAGTATCAGAAAGCTCAAATTTAGTTTGATAGAGATTATGCAATCTAAACAAAAGGAAGGAAAAAAAAAGAACAAGGAATGATGAAGAATATGGGACACCATAAAAGTACATTGATTTATGAAGAAAGGGTGTAGCAGAAGCAAAAGAGTAAAAAAAGAGATAGAAATTATATTAGAAGAAATAATTGCTTAAGACCTCCCAAAGATGATGAAAAATATTAATATATAAACACAAGAAGCTCAACAACTCCAAGTATGATAAACAGAGATTAACACTTGGACATATTCTAGTAAAAAACTGAAAGATGAAAACAAAGAAAATTTTGAAGGGAATAAGAAAAAAATGACTCTGTATACACTAGAGTGCCAATAGGATTAAAAGCTAACTTACTATCAGAAACAATAGATGCTGGAAGAGAGGGGAGTGAGATATTCAAATACCTGAAAGAAAAAGAAAAATGCTAACAAATAATTTTATATTATTGAACAGCAAAACTATCTATAAAAAATGAAAGTGAAATAAAAAAAAACTTTCTAGATAAACAAAAACTGAGAAAATTCATTGCTAGCACATTTGCATTATATGAAATACTAAAGGAAATTTTTAAGGCTTAAAGCAAGAGATCCAAGACAGTAATTTAAGTCCACACCAAAAAAATAAAATAAAATAAAAACTTGGCTGTAAAAGTAATTATGTAGATAATTGTAAAAGATAGTGTAATTTTGTGATTTTCTCCTTTCTTCCCTTAATGGGTTTGAAAAACAATTGTATAAAACAATATATGTATTTATTTATTGTTGGGCCTATATATATAGAAATGTCATATATGTCTGACAATAATAGCACAAAAGTGTGTAGAAGCAAAACATTAGAGTAAGGAAGTTACACCAGATGTTAATTTGGATCCACAGGAATAAATGAGAAGAACCAGAAATTGCAACTAAGAATGTTAATAAAACAAAACCTATAGTTATATACTTGTGCCCTTTTTCTTCTCACAGCTTCATTAAAAAATACGTAAAATAATAAATATAGCAATGTATTGTTGTTGAATTTTGAACATAAATATGTTACAAAAAAAAAGGAAAGCATGAATACCAGTATTTAGGAGTAATATTTCTATATTTCTGAATCTCACTGGATTTAACTCATGATAAATCTGAAGTAACTGTGATAAGATTGCAAGCACTAGAAACCAATAAGGGAATAACATATATATATATAGTAAAAAAACTCATTGAAAGAATTGAAATATTATACTAGAAAATATTAACCTAATGTAGAAGAGAGCCTTAAAGAAAAAGAGGGGGGAGGGGAAGCACAAAACACATAGAAAATAAAAAGAAAAAATGGCAGATATAAAGCTACTGTATCAATAGCAAGAGATAAAAAGGAACATTTTATCACAATGAAAGAGTAAAACTATCAGAAAGACATAACAATTATAAACATATATGCACCCAATGCCAGTGCCTCCAAAATCATGAAGCAAGAACAGACAGAATTGAAGAGAGAAATAGACAATTTAATAATAGTTGGAGACTTTGATCTCTCACTTTCAAAAATAGTTAGAAGAACTAGTCAGTAAAACCACAAAGAAACAGAAGATTTGAACAGCACTTTAAACCAACTAGACCTAACATACTTCTATCCAACAAGAGCAGAATGCACATTCTCCACGAGTACACATACAAGATTCTCCAGAACAGACTATATGCTAGGCTATAAACAAACTCCAGTAGATTGAAAGGATTGAAATTATCCAGAATATGTTCTCTGACCTTTGTTATGGATTAACAGTAGTAAATTAAATTAAATTATATTAAATTAAATCCAAAGTTTAATGTGTTGGAGACTTGGTCCCCACTGCAGCTGTGTTAAGACATTGGCAAATCCTATTTGTGGTAGTTGAAAGGTGGGGCCTTGGAGAGGTGATTGGAATGTGAGTACTATACCCTCATTAATGGATTGATCCAATCTTGGAACAATGGATGTTGTTTTAGGGGTTTTAAAAGGTGAACATGTGGAAGTATCTCTCTCTCTTCTCTGCCTTTTTTGCCATGTGACTCCCTGTATTGCTATTGAGTCACTTCAGCAGATGTGTTTCCTGGACTTTGGACTTCCCAGCCTCTGAAACTGTAGCAATAAATATTGTTTCTTTATAAATTACCCAGTTTTAGGTATTTGTTATAAGCATCAGAAACAGACTTCTACAACCACAATGGAAGGAAATTAGAATTAAACAATAAGAACACTGGGAAAATTAACAAAAATGTAGAAATGAAACAGGACCCTCCTAAATAATATATTGGTCAAAGAAGAAACCACAGAGAACTTTTTCTAATTTCTTCTATTTTCTATACTTTGTGGTGATGTATTCAATGCTTTTCCCCTGAGATCAGGAACAAGACACAGGATGTTCACTCTCACCACTTTTATTAAAAATTATACTAGATGTTTTATCCAGGGTTGTCAGGCAAGAATAAGATATTAAAAGGCATCCATATTGCAAAGAAAGAAATAAAACTATTTCTATTTGCAGATGATACAATCTTGTACATAGAAAATCCTAAGAAATTCACTGAAAACCTATTAAAACTAATAATTGAGTTCAGCAGGGTTGTAGGCTAAAAAAGCAATTTTAAAAAAATCAATTGTACAAGAATGCTCCAAAACGTTTGGGGAAAAATAGATAATGTGAATCTTTCCACGGACTTTCTGAAGTACCCTTATATTTTTATACTCTAGCAATAAATATTTCTAAAGAGAAATTAAGAAAACAATCTTATTTTCAAAATAATAAAATGGAAAAAAATACTTAGCAGTAAATTTAAGAAAAGAAGTGCAAGTCTTGTACTCTGAAAATTCTGAAATATTGGTAAAAGAAGTTTGAAATCTAAATAAGTAAAAAGATGTTCATAGAGTGGAAGAAAACACTATAAGATCCAGTATTCCACAAATTGATCTTCGGATTCAACACAATCCCTAATAAAATTGCATCTGGATTTTTGCAGAAAGTGAAAAGCTGATCTTAAAACCATGGGAATTCAAGTAAGCTTGAACAGCCAAAGCATTTTTGCAAAATAGGAGCAAAGTTAGTTGACTCAGCCTTTTTGATTTCAGAATTTTCTGCAAAGCTGTTGTAATCAGGACAGTGATATTGGCCTAAGGAAATATATATCAGTGTAATAAGTTAACAGTCCATAAGTTAACAGTACATAAATAAACCCTCATATTTATGGTCAATTGATTTTCAGCATGCAGGCCAATTAAAGTCATTGGGGAATGAATAGTCTTTCAACAAATGTCACTGGGACAACTGAATATCCATATGCAAAACAATGATTTTGGACTCTTTCCTTAAAACATACACAAAAATATCACTCCAAATGGGTCATAGTCCTTAACATAAGACCTGAACTATAAAACTATTAGAAGGAAACATAGTAGTAAATTTATGTGACCTACCATTAAGCAAAGACTTTTTAGATTGGACACCAAAAGTATAAGTAACAAAAATATAGGTTAATGAAGCTTTGTCAACTTCAAAACTATTGTACTTCACAGGACATCAAGAAAGTGAAAAGACAAACCACAGAATAGGAGAAAATATTTGTAAATCATATATCTTATAAGGAACTTATATCTACACCATATAAAGAACTTGTATAACTCAACAGTAAAAACACAAATATCCTAATTTTAAAGTGGGTAATGGATATGAATAGACATTTCTCCAAAGAAGATAAACAAATTGGCCATAAGCACATGAAAAGATGTTCAACTTCATTAGCAGTCAGTGAAATGCAAATCAAAACCACAGTGAGATATTATTTCTTACATATCAGGACAGCTACAAGAAAAAAGACAGATACTAAAGGTTGACAAGTGTATAGAAGAATTTAAAGCTTCATGCATTTCTGGTGTTTATGTAAAATGAGGTGGCCTATTTGGAAAATAGGCTGGCAGTTCCTCAAAAGTTAAACACAGAGTTGCTGTATGAGCCAGCACGAAAACTTTTACGTAAATGTTCATAGCAGCATTATTCACCATAGCCAAAAGATGGAAGCAACTCAAATGTCCATCAACTGATGAAGGCTATATCCATATAAAGAATGATCTCAGGCAAAAAGTAAAAATACTCAAGTACTGATACATATTTCACATGGATGAACCTTGAAAACACTGTGCTACTATGAGATAGGCCAGTCATCAAAGACTCTAAAGGATTCCATCTATATTACATTTCTAGAATAGGCAAATCTATAGATTCAGAAGATAGATTAATTGTTGCTTAGGGCTGTGGAGTTTGGGGGGAATGGGCAGTGACTACTAATGGATACTGGGCTTCTTTTTGAGATGATGATGATGTTCCAAAAACGATTGTAGTGATGGCTGCAAAATTCCATGAATATACTAAAAAACACTGTTAGCTTTAAATGAGTAAATTTTAAGGTAAGAATTATATCTCAATAAAGCTAAGACAGAATGACTATCAATCATATCCTCTTCCAGGATATGAAAATTACTTTGTATCAATTTCCTTATCATAAATATGCAAAGAACTCAATGTTGAAACTATGATGTGTTATTTTTGTTGTAAAATTTAGGGTTACCAGACCAGATGAGTTGCTTTTCTGATGAGCAGGAAACTAAATTTTGTTTTAAATCTTAGTTATATGTGTGTTTATATATTTCCGTGTCTGTTTTTATGATTTAATATCATTCAAAGTATATAAAAGTCCACCTTCCCAACTATTTTTCAAATATAATTTGTGAAAAATATAGGACATTTTAAATGCTAATCTCATAGGAATATCTTTTTAAAGAGTGCTTGAAATTAAGAAAAATAAATGGTTATCTAATTAAGAAAATTAGTCTTAATGAGAGTCAGGGTTTTGTCTTTTTTTTTTATATCCTATTATTTGGCTTTTAAGCTTGATGGAATAATAACAGTAGCTGGACTCTGTATCCTATTAAGGATTTATGGGAACTTGAACATTTATTTTTAATTTTTAAAACTATGCACAAGAACCTGGACTGCTGCTATCACTCAGCAAGCACACATGCTCAAAGAGAGAAAGGATTATTTTAAATCCTGGAAACCTTAAGTGTAAAAACTTTACCTTAAGTGCAAATTAGACCAATCTAATTAAGTATTAGTTGAATGTAGTCAACCATTATTATCTAACTGTATGTAATATTACTATTATTAGCCAAATCTAATTCACTATTAGTTGCAACCCAAAATTAAGAAAACAGGGATAACTAATGGACAGTTTCTTTTTCTATAAAACCAAATTTATCTTTTCTGTTCTATACTTCTCTCAATACCATACACATGAACAAAAATTAATATGTCATTTTTCAAGTTTGGTAAAAGTAGAAAATGTATGAGGCTTTTTCCTTACAAAATCTTTGAATGATAGTTTTTTGTTATAGTTTTTGCAAATGAGCCAATCCCATATTCCTTTACCTTTTTTTTAAGTGTTTCAACCCATTCTTTTCAAAAATTACTTTAAATTTGATAACTTCGAATTAAAAGTATTTCAAACAGTGAGTCCAGAAAGGGAGCATACAATATTTGCATCGAATGCTTTTAATTTGATCAGAATACTTTACTTTTTTTGTAGAAAATTCTGAACTGAATATAGGAGATTAAAGATGATTTATAAAACATGTAATTTCTCAATATTTGCAAAACACTTATTGCTACTTTTCAAATTTACATACAATAAAATCCACTCATGTTATAGTTCTATCAGTTTTGACAAATGCATAGAATCACATTTTTACTACTATCTTCATGATAGAGAACAGCTTCATCCCCCCCCACCCATTTTCTTCTGCTGCCCCTGTTAGTCAGCACTTCCTCCATTCCCAATCCCTGACAACTACTCATCTGTTTTTTATCTCTACAATTTTGCCATTTCCAGAATGTTATATAGAAGGAACCACACATGATATAAACTGTTGGTTCTGGCTTCTTTCACTTAAAATTCATTTGAGGTTCATCCATGTTTTTCTGAGAATCATCAATATGTTGCTTTTATTGCTGAGTAGTATTTCATTGTATGGGTGTGCCACAGTTTATCTCTTTGCCAGCTAAAGGACAGTCAGGGTTGTTTCTATTTGTGGGTGATTATTAATAAAGCTGTTTAATCTTGCACATATAGGTTTCCGTGTTAACATAAGTTTTCATATATTCTGGGTAAATATGAGGACTGGTATTGCTGGGAGTTTTGGCAAGTGTATGTTTACATTTATAAGAAAATGATAAACTGCTAGCCAAACTTCCTGTGCCATTCTGCATCATCACAAGCATTCATTGAAGGTTCCAGTTTCTCTGAATACTTGTCAGCACTTGATATTGTTAGTTTTTTCTTTTACTCACTGTAACAGATTTATAGTGGTATCTCTTTGTAGTTTTAATTTGCATTTCCTTAATCTCTGATAGTGCTTAGCAACTTTTTGTATGCTTTTTTTTTTTTAACATAGTTACATCTTCCTTGGTGAAGTGTCTATTCAGATCTTTTGCCCATTTTTTGAGTCCTTTGTTTTCTTATTGTTGGGTTTTTGAGTCCTTTACAAGTCATTCTAACAAGTTCATTGTTAGAAATGTGATCTTCAAATATTTTCACCCAATCTATGGCTTTCCTTTTTATTCTTTTACATTGCCTTTTGCAGAGAAATTTTTTTTTAATTTTCAAAAAGCCCAATTTAACATGTTTTTCTTTTATAGATTGTGCTTTTGATGTCATAGCCATGAATGCTGCCTAACCCAAAGTCACAAAGATTTTTTCCAATATTTTCTAATAGAAGTTTTATAGTTTTATATTTTAGATCTTTGACTCTGAGTTAATTCTTTTATAAGATGAAAAGTATAGGTCAAGTTTCAATTTTTTTGCTTATGGGCCATCATTATTTGTTTAAAAGTCTATACTTTCTTCATTGAATTCACATCTTAATTAAAAATTACTTAGGTATATTTGTGTGGCTCTATTTCTGGACTGACTATTCTCTTCTGTTGATCTATGTGTTTATCATTTTGCTAATATTACACTGTTGTGATTAGGGCTACTTTATAGTAATCTTGAAATCAGATCGTGAGAGTCCCTCAAATTATTTCTTCTTTCTCAAAATGGTTTGGCTATTCTAATTCCTTTGCTTTTCCATATAAATAATAGAATCAGCTTGTTGATATCTACAAGAACATAATACACCATCTGGGGTTTTTTGCTGACATTATATTGAGTCTATAGACTCAATTTGGGGAGCACTGACATCATAACAATATCTAGTATTTCAAGCCATGAACATGGTATATGTCTCCATTTATTCAACTTTTTTCATCAGTATTTTCTTTTCAACACACAAATGCTATACATATTTTATTAGATTTATACATACATGTGTCTGTGAGTACCTATATTTCTTTCATTTATTTTTCTTGCTTTATTGCACTGGCTAGACTTTATAACAGTATGTCAAACGAGAGTTGTGAGAGTGGTCAACCTTACTTTGTTTCTCATTTCAGAGGGAAAGCAATCAGTTTTTTACCTTTAGATATGATGTTAGCTGTTATCTTTTTGGAGATGTACTATGTCAATTTAAGGAAGTTCTCCTGTTTTTAATTTGCCGAGAGTGAAATCTTCTATGAATATCAATTTTGATCTGATTGATGGTGTTGTTCAAGTCTTCTATGTGCTTACTTATTTTCTATTTTTCCATCAAGTTCTGAGGCGTATTGTAGTCTTCAAGTATAATTGCAGATATGTCTATTTCTCTTTCATTTCTAGCTGATTTTGCTTCTTGTATTTTGAAGCTCAGTTGTTATGTGCATATACACATAGGACTGATGGTTCTTCTTGGAGAATTAATTGTTTTATCATTATATAATGTCCTTCTTTATACCTGATAACATTATTTGCTTTAAAGTCAACTTTTATATCAATATAGCAACTCTACATTTTGTTAGTCTTTGTATGGTTTACTTACTGATATTTGATATCTACTCACCTTTGAAGACTTTACAGAAATTTTATAGAAGACTTTTAGAAGATATTACAGTTTACAGCTAGGTAATTTGGATCTGTACCTTATTTTGTTCCTAACATCTGATTTATCATGATTTCAGAAAATGAAGAATACAGAAATCAATTATTTTTGAGATAATTATGATTATATTTCATTCTTAAAATTAAGAGGCATATCTTAGAGTTCAATAAACATTTCCAAATTAATCTAATGTATTCTTAGCTAACTACTTATTTATCTATAATTGGTTAGTTCGTTATATGTTCCTATGATTTGTTTTCCCATTCATTTTACCTTTATATCATTTCTCCATGTAAGTTAGGAGCCATATTTCGACTGACTTCTGTGTATAAATCAATGACCATAGTTTCCTTTTATAGTCATAAATACAATTTAAAATATCTACATTTCAAGACTAGGCCAAAGGATCCTAATTATAAAAGTGAGATCCCATCTACCCATTTGATTATTTATGTTTCTCTAGGAAACATAGGAATTATTTCTCAACAAATCAAGTGCCAACTGTGGAAATACTGGAAGTCTCTCATGTATTTATATATAGATTATTAACTTTTCCTGTTGCAATATGACTTGTGTTAAGTAGCTAATACAAATATGCCTTTGGAATATAAATTTTATTATTTGTTTCCCCATCCTAACAGCTGCAGAAATAACTGTTCAACCAACGGTGGAAGAGGCTTCTGACAACTGCACTCAAGAATGTCTCATCTTGGGCCACTCTGATGCCTGCTGGATGCCAGCTTCTCTGATCCATTCCAGTCTTTCACAGGCACAGGCCTCTGCTCTATGCCACAGCCCACCCCTGACACAGAACTCTGCTCGCTGCCGCAGCCCTCCAGTGACACAGACCTTTGCTCTCTGCCACAGCCCTCCAGTAACCCAGGCTATTGCACTGTGCCACAGCCCTCCACCTGTACAGGCCTCTGCTCTTCACCACAGTCCTCCTCTAGTGCAGGCTTCTGCACTTCGCCACAGCCCACCACCAGCACAAGCCTCAACCCTCTGCTACAGCCCTCCTCTGCCACAGGCTGCTGCCCTCCGTTGTAACCAGGCCCAGCCACCAATGAGTTTGCAGCAAGGTTGGATGCAAAGGGCTGGAACTGATGGACTGCGTTCTCTTGATCAGGGAGTGCAAGGTAGTGCAAGATCTCAATTTTACACCATGTCTGAAAGACTTCATCCCAGTGATGATTCAATTAAAGTCATTCCCTTGACAACCTTCACTCCAGGCCAACAGGGCAGACCCTCTCGGGGTGATTCCCCCATTATGGAAGAACATCCCTTGTAAAGCTAAAATGGCTCTTTCACATTTTCAGACTGGATGTATATAGTCAAAGTTTAAGATCCAATTTCAACGACTATTCCAAACTGTTAGGTTTGTAAATAGCTGTGTAAATAGAAAGAGATAGCAGAATAAGTCTAGAGCTAGACGCTTAGTCAAAAGTTAAAAATAAATTAACAACTTGTTTAATTCAGAATGTGTATTAAAAAAAGAAAAGAAATAGAAATTGAAAAATTCACATCCCTTTGTACAGAAAGGCTTATCATGACAGAAATTAATATGTAGTCTATACTATTTCTGATGTACTCTAATTTTTTTCACTTTATTTTTTTTTTACCACAATGTGCAATATTACTGATACTTTTCTATTCTGATTTTTGTGGACCCAGTACACAGCAAATGGAAAACCAGTAAATATCTGATTTTCCAAGTTTACCTTTAGTTTATTTCAACTTTTGTTCAGATAACATTAAAAGGTATAAGTACTGTGGCATTTTCATTTGTCTTTTTGCTTGATTTTTGTTTGTTGTCTTGCTTTTCGTTGTTAGTGTTTCTCCCTTCAAAAATGCAGCAGTAGAAAGTGTAAATACCACTTACAGTTTTGCCCTGTTTTTTATGTTTTCTACATTTATTTCAATAATATACTGTTGATATAATTTGTATATACATTTTCAGTAAAGATCATATAGAAATTGTACATACAACATATTTCTCTACTCTTTAGTAGAGTTCGAGACACTGAAGTGCAATAATTGTGCCCAAATTAGCCAACTACTTGCTAAAAAGGGCCTCTTTTTTTAAAAAAATGTATCTTTGTAGTTTAGTGTAAAGTACATCAGAAATAATATTGTATCTGCCATTTTAAGCCTATATTCCATTATCAAATGGGTCTTTACCTTCTAGAATTTGTATATAACAGCTTAGAAAATTACAAGGAAGGTGGATGAATTCAAAGCATGATTCATTTACAGCTATGACTCTAAACTGCTATTTTCTAGAGAAGATCAGGAAGATGTAAATGTTGATTTGATGACTCAATAGTCTGCTACTGAAAGATTTTTAGTAAAAAGAACAAACAAATGAATATAACTGTAGATAAAACCATATACTAAACCTATAAGACTAAGAGATTTCTGTCATTCTAGCTCAACTTACTGAAGAAAACCACTGATAACAAGATGAAAGTCAGGAAGAAACTTTTCAAGAGATGTAATTATAAATCTACATCAAATGTATTACAGTATAGAATTTTAAGGAGATGTGCAGAGGGAGAAATAAAGTTCATGACTGCTTCTTGGGGTGGATAAGAAATACCCCAATAACACATACAAAAAACCAACAAAATCTCACATATGAAACAAAATATGTCCTTCCAAGCAAAGAATACAGTAGTATTGGTAGGAAACATTAGCTTCCTTCTGTTGTCTGTTCTTTATTTTCTGGTTTTATCCTCTTAAGTGGCCATTATGTCCTATGTGCACATTTCATAAATTTACAGAAACATCACTAACTTAATTTTCCTCCATAGCAAAACCGAGAAAATGTCTTGTTTCAGTATTACACTAAACCAAGAGACGATTGATATTTTATGGGGGGGGGGGAGTGAATATTTCTTGTTGATTAAATTAGTTGTAGACTTTGTAATGTGTAACTTGAAGATATGTAATTTATGATTAAACTGTGTGTAAATGTTGTAATATAAACTGTGGTCAATGTATAATTTCACTGGTGAAGGTTTCCACTGAATGTTGAGAAAGTTTTTCTTCATGTGCCCGGCAGCTTAAGTAGCGTTTTGAGAATATATTGTTCCCATTGTAAAGCTCTTTAAATCATATTTGATTTGATGTGTAGAATAACTCCTTAACTTTTAAGTACTAGAGTTGGATTAGTGAACTTTTAAGTTCATTCTTTTTTTTCTCCTTTGCGTTTGTTAATATTCCAAGGGATTTGGAGCATACTGGTTTTCCAGGTGCATGTGAATCCTGAAGGACTGATGATTTTGAAACATGATCATATATATGCGTTGATATTGTTGTTGTTAATACAGATTTCAAGCCTGGGGAAGATAAGGAAACCCAGAATAACAAAATCAGTGCTTCCAGTAGATTTTAGATTTTTTTCTCTCAAAAGCTTGCAAAGATTATGCAAGTGAGAATTTTTCTTCCATTTTAATTATTTCCACATTTTTCCTCTCCATACCTTTAGTTTACTTATGATCTACACACACACACAAATTTAAAAGGAGATAAAAAGGAGAAGCTGAAAGATTATTAAATGATTTGTGAGAAATCTGAACAGTTACTATATACGTTCATGGAAATCAGAATAAGAACCAACGTTAGATATTTGGGAAGTTTTTCTGATAGTGAAATTTACTGAGTTCCTAGGGAGGCTCTTAAATCCTCATACTAAAAATTTGAGAAGTTCCAGTACCTTTCCTAGAGATATAGGAATGAACAAATATGCTTTTATTGCCCTTTCTAACTCTGATTTTATAATCAGACTTAGACTGTGTTTAGAATATTAAATGACTGGGCACCCTCTTCTGTGTTTGTACCAGAGAGGATTTGAATGGAAGCAGGCTGAGTAGCCAAAGAGGCAAGGGGTGTGAGCCCAGTTATTCTCCCCTTTGCATTCTCTTTCTAAGCTTCCACTTAGGTCTGGCCTTGGAAACCTATACATTCAGGGCTTTAGATCAGATGAGATCTTTCTCATCATATTACACATTTTTTCTTTGAATGGATGGACAGAGCAATCGATTGACAAAGCTCACAGGTGGCTCTTCTGATGTGCAAAAAATGTTCTAAAACTGCAAAATTTCTTATTTTACCATCAATCAAAAATTTGTTTCCCTTGAAAAAAGAAAGATTTGATTTGGTTTGAAATTAGAACTTTAAATACAAATGATTAGTATGATACCAATATGTTCAGCCGGACTGGTTATTCTATTTTGTGGCCATATTCAATTACATTGTGATTATTAATTTTCTAGCTATAGCATTAATATACCACATTTATAAGTATGTATTCAAACACTGTGTATCTTATATGCTAAGTATATACACATTCTTTTCTTGACCTTTATCTTCAAGTTTTAACTAATACTGTGTCAGTGTATTAAAAACTAGCCTTTACATGTGATATCAACAGTGTAATAAATTTATAGTCCATTTTGTGTAGTCTCATTTAGTTATTATTACATTTTATTCTTAATTATGTAAATTTTGCTAGAAAAAAATAACTGTTAAATGATTAGTGCAATTGTGTAATGTTGACAGTTATGAGGAGCCTCTGCCTTCCCAAACTAATATTTGTCACACACTTTCATTAAAATGGGGAAAAAAATAGACTATAAGAAATCATAAAGTGTACAGTCCTTAAAATGTATTGATGTCACACGAAATAATCCTTTTCAGTCCTGGGAAAATTAAGTGGGGTTTATTCATATGCATATATCAACATTAGTTTTTTGTTTGTTTATTTGTATTAAGGCTGCATGTGCATATATCTCCTACTATACATTTATGAAAATCTACTTGTTTAGGCTTTTATTTATGCTCTTCTGATTTATATTTTCCATTATAGTTATCATTTCTTGTCTTTCTTCTTTCATATTTTTTGCAAACCAAATTTATAGTTATGTTTGATAAACTTTTTATCACATCATTAGACATTATTTTGGCTATTTCCAACTTGGTCAATTGGCCTGGAAAACGTGGGAAAAAGAGAAGCTAAATTTGGACAGTAACCTTTTTATGTCATGTGACAATTATTATTGGCACCAGAGCAATTTTATGCAGAGGCTTTAAAATATTCATTCACAGTAGCTTCTTAAACCATCCATGTGCTTTCAGTAAATATTATTTTTAAAAGCAGCGCAAGTTGACAACAGCAAGATTAGTAATGAAAAGGCTGCTCAGAAAAATGTGTGTGCACAAATGAAAAAAAAAAGTGAAGGCAATTGTGTAGTGATTGTATGTGATAACTTTAGAAATAAAATGTGTGAAATTTATGCTTTCCCCACTTAAAATATTTGGAATTTTATGAAATATGTATTTATGTTTGTATTTGGGAAAGATTCCTCCTCTGTGACATCATACAGCACTTGAAAGTGAACAGTATCCCAAAGCAGTTCTAGCCGTGCTTTGGAAGTGGAAAGGTTGGAAATTGTATGGCCCAGGATGGCAGTATGTAGTCCAGCGGCAAATGTGTATTAATTGTTGTATTTCAGATTCTGTATTGCATGTTTTCTTATTCATTAATATTGATATTAATAAAGTAGTTATGAGAAAAAAGATGCATTTTTATTTCATGTGTTTGTTAATTCAATAATCAAAGGTTTTATTTTAAATTGGTTTTTAAATTTATAGAAAGCAAAATACACTTTTTTGGTGGTACAGTTCCATGAGTTAGTTTACTTTTTTGTTAACTCTGATAGCCCCTTCAATATAATTCTTTGAATTGAATATCATTTCAATCACTTTTCAAAGTTGGTGAACAATATTGTAGTGTTTTTCAACATTTACTTTGCATCTTCCAAGACAAACGAGATATTTCCATATTAAGCTTATTGTCTCATTTAATGTAAAAGCCACCTAAGGAGATCCAGGTAAAATAAGTTTCTGGAGAGTGTTGCTAATGTTTGTGGAACAAAATAGCTTCAATCCTGGCTTAACTTTCACTTTAGCTAAATGGAGAGAATCCCAGAACACTGAAACCTCTCAAACAGCACAGTATCACTAGACATGCAATTGCATTTGGCATTTTTATTAGCCATGCAGGATAAGAATTACAGAGTGCTTTTTTGTCTCCCTTCTTTTCTCACCCATTTTTCCATTATTGTGTATTATTTATTCTCGCTTAGGGTTAGCTGGTGAAGGGGAAAAAAGCAAAATTTAAATCAAGCAACATTTTAACCTATGGCTAAAGGAGATTGGAATTTTGGAAGTAGTATAATATATGTGTAGGTTAATTTGTTTTATTTCTCATACTGACTATAGCCATGTGGGGAAAAAACACAAATTGTAGTGACTAGTTTGTGAAGCAGATTAGTAATCACCAGATTACATATAGACATTATCATAATAACCTTGGCAAGAACTCTAGGAATCTGAGAAAGTGAATAAGATGAATAAGAGGATACTTCAAACACTTCATGGAAAGATTCATATTATCTTTTAATTCTATTTTTCCATGAACTTTGTCAAGTATCCTCGTACATACTCTGAATGGAAGAAAAATAAAGAAAGAAGTATTAGAAATATCTTCTAATATGTCAACAAGTGGAAAAATGAGTGAGTTAATATTTAGTTTGATTAAAAACATGGAAATTACTGCTCTCATTGTCAGAACTGGTCACACTAATTTATAATATAAATTGTTGATGGCGTAATGGTAAGTGCTTCAAAGCAATAAAGCACAACAAAGCAATACAACAGCTCCGAAACAAGTAGGTAGGATCAGTTTTAATTTCTGTGTTTTGGGTCACAAACTCTACAGTTGTTTTAAGTATCTGAGGATCAATGCCAGCATAAAAACAAAAAGTTTATGTTATAAACTATGTGGTATAGAAAAAAGTGAGATAAGGTTTCCTCTGGAGTGAGACCTATCCCTAATTCACCTCACTAGGCTACTACCTTTTTCCATTCAATGGGGAGTGAGAAAAAGAGAATGAACTAGTCAGCTCTACTCTGTCCTTGAAGGGATTGCTTTAGCCCTGAGACATCTGAAATCCAACCACCTGATAAACTGTGATTGTTGATCACCTGTCTTAGCTCATTTACAGTGCTATAACAGAATACCTTAGACCGGGTAATTGATAAATATGTGTTAGTGGCATAACCATGGCCTTTCAAAGGAGATAATTCATTTATGTTTACACAGTAAGAACTGGAGAGAGAATACTGCCTTTATCAGTAGTATACACTGCTGGGTTCTACATGTGTCTCCAAAAGGATGTGAAAGTTGTACATATTTGTCAGCAAGTATCACTGTAGGTTTTGAATTGTGTGGAATAATTTCTCTTGATATCATTTGATGCATTAGTTCCATGAAACTTTCAAAAAACAGTGAAAGGAGATCAATCTTGGAATGCATTCCTCATGACAAAATGCTGGGCGTTTCATTGTAGACTGGGGAAAATATAAAACACTTTCTAGGTTTTCAGAGAAAAAAATTGACTCTGAGGAGCCATTCATTTTGGAATCAATAATTTAATATCACATATTCATACCTTATATTTAGATGTAAAAAACTTATTTGTTATTTAATACCACAGTCAGATAATTATTTTATTGCTTTCTTGTCTGTAGCAGCTAGGAAAAACTTCAACGCATATATAAAACAACTTTGCCCTACTTTTAGGGCATATCGAATTATATAATGATATAACACACATAGTTTTTGACACAGTCCGATGCTGCAGTGGACCTACTCCCTGTTAAAGAAAATAAATCTATCAATTATTTGAGTAAATTTTTTTAAAAAGGAATTTATTGTTCACAGTTCTGGAGTCTTGGAAATCCAAGATCAAGGCACCAGCAGATTTTGTGTGTGGTTAGCGCCCATTCCCCATGGATGGCACCTTCTATGCGTTCTCACATGGCGGAAGGGGCAATAAGACCTTCTAAAGCCTCTTTTATAAGGTCACTAATCCTATTTATGAGGGCCTTCATGACCTAATCACCTTCTAAAGGCCCTGCCTCTTAATAACATCACCTTGTTGGTTAGGTTTCAACATAAAAATTTTGGGGGAACTCAAACATTTAGACCATAGCTTCACCTGAAGAACCAAAGGGACCCTCACCCTATTAGCCTTGAGGCAATGCTTATAGTTATTTTAAAATACCAAACCTAACCATCACATTAAGGCTAATGTTTTATACTTGTGACATTATTATCAAGAAAGAAAATAGACAAGGAAAGATCCTAGGAGACCATATATCTCAGGAGTGAGCTAGTGAGTAAAGGAAGGAGATAAGAGAGCCCTGAAAGAGAAAGAGTATTCATGTATTTGATGAGTATTTAATGAATGTCCATGATGTAGCAAGCACTGTTAGGGGCACTAAGAATGCAATGATGACAAGAAAAACAGGGACTCTGGTCTTATGGGGCCTATGATATGCAGGGGTAAGATCACAACAAACAAGAACACACATACATTTATAACAATGTATGATAGATGAGTGGATATGGAAAATGTGTTTTATCTACACAATGGAATACTAGTCTGCTATGAAAAAGAATGAAATACTGCCATTTGCAACAACATGGATGGACCTAGAGAGAATTATATTAAGTGAAACAAGTCAGGCACAGAAAGAGAAATATCACATGTTCTCACTTATTTGTGGGAGCTCAAAATAAATAAATAAATACACAAAAAATAACTGGAGCGGGGGAGAAGACATAACAATTGCAATTCCTTGAAATTGATAGGACAAGCAAACAGAAAGGACATTGTTGGGAGTGAGGGGGAGAGGGAGGAGGGAGGGAGTTTTTGGTAATGCGCCACAATAATCAACCACATTGTATATTGACAAAATAAAATTTTTAAAAAAAGGCTATGACTCAAGTTTATTGAAAATATATATGGTAATTATATTATCATCATCAAAGGACAGGGAGGAGGGAGGGAGGTTTCGGTGATGGGCCACAATAATCAACCACATTGTATATTGACACAATAAAATAAAATTTCAAAGAAAAACAGAACAAAACAATGTATGATAGTGATAAGGGAGTGAGGAAAATCAAACAAGGTGATATGATACAGGTTGACTATCATATCTAGGATACGTACTAATTAGGATTGTTTCAGCTCCAGATAACAGAAAAACCCTGAATCACGTAGCTTTAAAATGAAAATTTTGTTATTTTATTTAACTTGATACCTTGACATAAGGAAGTTTATGACGTGGTACACTCCGGCTCTCACTTTGTTTCCCTGTAATTCCATTGGTTTTACCTATTGTTGTTTGCTGGCTTCATCCTCAGTCTGATAGTAAGAAGACTGCTGCAGTTTCTTTGTCACATCTAGACACAACAATTATCAAAAGAAGAGAAGATGCCACTTTTTAAGAATGAGAAAAATCCTTCTCATAAGCCTCTCTGCTGACTATTTTATTGGCCAAAATGAGGTCACCTGCCCCTATCAAAACCAATCACTGTTAAAGAGAATGAATTGCCATGAAAAGATTATACTATATGGAATAGATTTTATAGAGTCAAATATCATAACAACTTTAGATGACCTTTTTGAGAAGACATATGAAGTGAGATGAGAAATGAATAATAAAAAGAGTCAACGATGTGATGACTTGAGAGGGAGGAAGAGATGATATGGCTACAGGAAGCAGCAGGAGTAATTTTGTGGAATCCAAAGAAGGAAATAATATCAAGAAAATGTGAATATTTGACTCTGTTAATTGCCAGACCTTTAAGTTAATATTCTCTTACCTCAAATAGACCTTAATGCTGCCCTATGACCATACCATATTAATTTACTTCCTCTCCTACTTTTCTACATGATTAGTTTATTCACTTGTACCTGATAACCTTGCTTCCTATTTCAATGAGAAATTTGGAGCAACAGAATAGAATTTCCAGAAGCTCCTACCATCAATTCCTACTTCCATTTATCTGCATCTGTGACCATACAGCCTTCCTTCCCTCTCGTTAGTGTCAATGTACTGTTCAAATTGTGAGTTAAGGTCACTCACTGTAAATGTGCATTAGATCTAATATTCGCTTGCCTACTTAAGCACACTGCTTCAATAATCTTCCCCTCTCTACCTTGCATCATTAACCTTTCTCTCTGTACTGTATCATTCTTATCAGCATAAAAATGTGCAGTTATTTTTGCTAATATAAAATTCTTTCTTGACCCCATTTCATCCTCCAGTTATTATCCCCTTTCTATCATTCCACTTGCAACAAAACTCTTTGAGAGAGTTTTTTTTTTAGTCAATGTCACCAATTAAACCAGTAAACACTCTCTAATCAGGCATTTGTCCCACAATTGCAACAAAACTTCTCTTATCATGGTAACCAATCACTCCATGTTATTAAATACAATGGCAAGTTTTCCAACTCTTACTGAAAATTTCAGTAACATTTGACATAGTTGTTCAGTCTCTCCACCTTGAAAATCTTTCCTCACTAGACTTGCATGACATTACATGGGTCTGGATTTCCTTCTATCGCTTTAGTTGTTCCTTCTATCTGCCACTTCTGCTGAGTTATCATGTCCCCAAGCTCATTTTTTTGTTTCAGACAATTTGCTTTCCTTGAGCTATT